TGCGGGGGCGCTAGATTCTTGCAGGTGGGAGTCTGACCTCATCTGGGCTTGGGTCTTGTGTGAGCTGAAGAAAGAGAAGGCTCCTAGTTTACATTGCTCTGTCTCCCAAGGTCTTGCTCACTTGGCACTGTGGAGACCTTGTTTGGAAATGGGGTCTGACAAGTAGCACTCATTAGTAATCTGTGAGTGGGCCCTGAACCCAAATACTTGAGAGAGAAAGGAGAGGGAGACTTGAGCCCCATGGAAGGCGAGGCTAGATGGGCGTACTGTGACCCCGGGAGGGGGAGAGGCAAATGGAGGTCTCCTCTGTAGCCTATGGGGAGCATGGCTCTGCCTGCACCTTCCCTTGGCCTGCAAACCCAGGTTGGGCACATCCCTGGTGTTCTCAGCTACCCACTGCCCCCTCACGGTGAAGTAGACCTCTTGGTGCATACCTGCAACTGGGCCAAGAGAGGGAATCCCCTGCTCAGAGAGGCTGTGGGTGCCCTTGCCATGCCTCTGCACCTGTGCTCTGCACACACAGCTTTAGGGTGACTGGGGCAGTCATAGGTGGCCACCTGGCTGTCCACCTCGGTGTGCACCTGTGTGATCAGCATGAGCAGCCAGTCAGCTGGAAGCACAGCTCTGAACAGCTGGCTGCCTTGAGGCTTTGACTTAGAGATCAAAGCAGTTCTCTCCTGGGACCCCTCGCTGGAACCTCAGCAGATCTAGGGAACTCCCAGCACAGGGCCTGTCTGGGTGGTGCTCAGATTTAGGGGAGGCCTGTTCTGGCAGGGGGGCCTGGCTGTCTCAGTCCTGAAAGATAGCCCACTCCCCTGCCCTCACTCATTACTCCCAAAGCCGGTGTCTGGGGGAAGCCAGGCGTGGAGAATGTCAGCCTTGCAGCTGCACTCATCATGAACTGCCCCCAAGAAGTGCTGCCAGGGCAGGATGTGTGCCTGTGAGGACCCCACCCTGACCAGCCCAGCTGTACATCCTCAGACACGGCTTCTGGCGCACACAAGCTTCCCCCAGGGAGCATGATGTCGGGCCCAAGGATCTGAGCACGCCTAGTCCCCAAGGTCTGTGGGTCACTATGGGGAGGGGTCAGGCTCTGGGTATGTCCTGCCCTGCTCAGGAGCAGGAGGCCCCTGTCTTCCAAGGGAAGAGCTAGACACTCTTTTCCCCACTGTCCTCTCCTCTTGCTCTCCCCTCCTTATTCTAGTAGAGTACTGTAATAGAAAAACTTACCAAGTTAACCATTTTCTGAAATAGCACAGTAAGACGACTGACTCAGGATCACTGCAGTGGAGTTTTGCAGCGGAGAAGAGGGACTACTCAGCTTGTTTCTCAGTGCCCAGCACTACCTTCTGTCTCCAGAGTTTCTCCTGTTCCCAGAAAAAGGGTCTGAGCTTATCCAACACTGACTCCAGCCTCAAGTCCTGTGGGCGCAGCTTCTCTCACTGAGCAGTGCCCTCAAGGTCATCTGAGTGGGAGCAGTCACCCCTCCTTTTCTTTTCTAGGCTGAATAATATTCCACTGTGTGAGTGAGCTATATTTCCTTTGTCCACTCATCAGTGGACATGGGTTGCATCCTCTTTTCAGTAACACTCTGATCACGTGGTGATTCTAGTTTCTGGAAGAATGGCCACACTGCTGTTCCCTAGGGTCATCCATTCCACATTCCCTGCAGTGCACAGATGGTCTGCCTTCTGCGGCGCTTCTGACACCACTGTCTCTGTCTGTTTTAGGCCTGTCATGGTGGCCATGACAGTGGTACACTTCAATCTCGGTTTGTGTCTCCCCAGCAGTGGTCACACTGGGTGTCATTTCCTGGCTTATTGCTCATTGTTGTGTTTTCTTTGGAGAAAGGGCCCTACTCCCTCTCCCACTCGGCCTCAGCCCTCACCTGCCAGGCCCACAGCCTCTGGGCATGCCATCCCTGTCACCTGAGTGCCTGCCTGCCCCTTCATGGGCTCCTGCCCCATTCTTGGATAGAAATGCCCTTTCTGCATCTTTCTGCCTGTGGCCTGCCTCAGGTCATCGCCTTTTTGATGGGTTTATTTGTGGCATTTGAAACAGGGACCTGAGAGATGCTAGAGGTGTGGTTACTAAGCAAGCTGGGGATGAACAGGCCAAGGGGGCAAGGTGGCTCAGACAAGGCCACCTGCTCAGGGGCACTCGGGGTGACTGTGTGGAGAGCAATGTACAGACACTGCCTGACGGGGGCGCTCCTGCCCAGGGCACTGCATTTTAATTAAACCCGCCCCTGTCTTTGACCCCACTCTGCCATCGCATTCTCCACTTAATTGGGGCCCTTTGGAGCTGCCAGCGGAGGTTAATTAAAAAGCCCAGCTGAAGGCATCCGCCGCCAGCACCCGATGGCGTGGGCCCCACCCGACATCTGTGTGATGCAACTCCTTCTGTGTCCCTGTGGCCCACACTTGCACCAGCGCTGGAATTCGCAATGAGACCACTTAGCCTCAGAGTCCTGACCCCAGATTGCCCCCTTGGTCCCACATGGGGAGCAGGGCTGGCTCCCACCTGGGGGTCAGATGCTACAGGGGCTGAGCCTTGTGCCCCCTGGCTCCCAGCTCCCAAGGGAGGGGCTGGCTGTGCTGCCTGCCTGGCACTGGGGTCAGGGACTCTTGTTCCCTAGGCTTAGCAGCAATGAAGAGATGCATGGTGAGAGAGGGCGAAGGGAGGGACACAGAGGGGTCCCACAGAGGGGCTGGCAGCCCGCTGATGGCCACAGCATGGTTTAGGCAGTACATGGAGCCTCACTGAGTAGGGCTGAGGGTACAGGGAAGCCTGGCATGTTCCCGGACTGGGAGAGGACCTAAGGTAGCTGACTGCAGGGTTGCTCCGTCCACTGAGAGAAACTAACTGTCATCCATGGGAAAAGAAAAATCTGCAAAACCACCCGCAGGAGGCTGATCAGGGTGGGCTGGCTCTGAACCTGACACCTGGCAAACTGAGTACTGAGTATCAGGCTGGCTGGGGGCAGGGAAGCTGGGGAGGATGCACCTGACACCCTGCCCCAGGCAGGGCGCCCAGAACACAGACCCCAGGCCGCTGGAAGGCTCACCCAGTCATCTGGTTCTTCCTGAGTCCTGCTCCTGGGCTTGCTGGCTCAGGGAGGAAATTAGAACAGAGATAGTCCTGTCCACTTACTGCCTGGCTGGCACAGAGGACCAGTACCAGCATCATCAGAGTTTAGGCAGAGCAAGGGGAGCAGGAGATCTGGGGAGGAAGCAGTTAAGCTGGATGCCAAACCAGGACGGGAGGCAGGAGGCAGGAGGCAGGGAGCACGACGGAAGCGTGTGGCACCTGTCACAGCAGCCCTGTCCCTGCCTGCACCACCACCGCTGCAGCATCCCACCTGCAGTGCTCCACTTGCAATGTCCCCAACAGTGACCGTGGAACAAGTATTTTCATAGGACCTATTTGTAGTTTGATGGAGAAGCTGTTTCATGGCCTTGGACATGCCCAATCCCCCAACAGGCAGGTGAACAGAGGAACTTGATGATACCACCTACTTGGACACAGAGGAGGTTTTTCCATGGAGCACCAGCAGTGGCTGTGATCCTCCTCTCAGGTGTCTTCTGGGGCCAAGTGCCCCTGTCCTGACCAGGGTCACCTGTCTGCTGTCCTCTCTGAGCCTGGCCAGGCGAGAGCCACAGGAGGATCTATGGGGAGGAGAGCCCAGTGCTGCCCCATCCTCTGTCTGCTGCAGCCCAGCTCGCCTTGGCAAGGTCTTGTGTTCCACTTATACTGTCCTTGGCTGTCTTGAGTCATCCTAGTAGCTGGAAGCCACCCATGATGCATGGGGATCCTTCACCTTCCCACCCTGGATCACTGGCACCTTCTGCAGAGCTCTGGCAATGTGGCTGTGGCCCACTCAGCCTGCTCCAGGGCTGGGCTGCTGAGAGCTATTTTGACTGGAGCTGGGAGCCTGGGGGGTGGTGGCTGCAGAAGCCCTGTGGTCCCAGGGCAGCAGTGGCCACCTTCATTGCCAGTTCCAGGTTTCTCGGTGCCGGCATGAATTTCCACAGTCTCCGGGACAGTGATGGGCTCTGGTGGTGGGCAGGAGAGGCAGAGGGGCTGGAATTCATTCTGCAATTAGTGAGCACCTCTGAAGATTTTGAACAGGGTCTGCAACAATGGGGTCAGAGGACATGGCCCTGTCAAAGGTGGTGAGAAGCTGGCATGGAGGTCCAGGATGTCCAAGGCTGGAGAAATTGAGGCCAAGGCAGCTGTGGATGGGTCAGGAAGACACCAGCTGAAGTCCTTGCCTGGGGCTTAGTTTCCAGCTCCACAGATTAGAGGCCACAAGACCCAGAGCACCAGACCATGGGGGCTCCATCTGAGAGCCTAGACTCTGTCCCATGGGCACTGGGAAGCCACGGCAGGCTCTTGAGCCAAGGACATGCAAGAAGGCTGCCTGCTTCTCCTGATATAGGCCTGGAAAATAAAAACACTTGGGAAAGAAGCCTGTGTTGCCTCTGGGTCTGCTCCAAACTCCAACAACCACCCAGGAACCTCCCCAGAGCACACAAGGGGATGAAGAGGAGGCAAGGCCTGTGCTGCCCTGTGTCCTCGACCAACAGCCCAACAGCTCGGGGCTTTGCCTTGGCCTGCCCACCTTTCCTGGCAGCAGCTGCAGGGCAAGTCCTGCCCCACCCCCTCCTCCCGCACTGAGACCTCACTTCCCCACGTCCACCCTTCCTGGCCAGCTAGGGGATGGACAAGGCCCCAGCCACCCACTCCCACCTGGCCTTGATGCCCTCTGCGCCTCCCAGCCTCCCTCCTCCCGAAGGAGTTTAGGGGACAGGCCCTCCTCTCTTCACACCATAAACACCAATTTGCAGGGCCCTGAGAGCCAAATGACTATTTACCATGGCTGTGAAAGCTCAAATAAAAAGTGAGTGAGAGAGAGACAGAAAGACGAGGGAAAAGGCCAGTGCAGAGCGTAGAGGGAGCAGAACTAAACAACAATTAGTAGCTCTGAAAGCGTCCAGCCCTCCCAATGCCCGCCCACCCAACTGCGCCTGGCCTGCGGTACCGGGCTGGGCTGGGAACCCTATCCAGGCTTCCCCAGCCTCCTCACCCTGCCCCCACACTCCTGGCATCTCCCAGGGCTTCTCTGAAGGGTAGCAGCCTTTTTGTCCAACAGTGATCTAGCAGTCACCAAGGGGCACATGATACAACTCTCTGGGTGGACCTGGACCAACACCTGAGCCTGGGGTGTCACCCTGAAAGCTGGCACCCTGGGACTGGGACCAGGCCTGGACCCTGGCTGGTGCTCTGGCCCAGCAAGGCTGCACGGGGTACCCTAGTGGTGCCTAGTTCCTACCACGAGATGGCTGTAACCTCGAGGATCCTGTCCCAGGGCGCCCCTCTAGGGAGAATGACAGATCCAGAGGGTGAGTGGGTGGCTGTTAGGGAGAGAGCTGGAGGGTGTGAGGCCTTGTCCCTGGTCCCTGTCCCCAACCATCAGCCAGGCCCCTGGGCAGGGCTGTGTCCCATCTCCTCCTGGGCAAGTAAGTGGAGGCACTCAGGAAGGGCAACCCCAGGGTCAGAGGGCAGGGGCTGTGGCCAGAGCTCTGGACAGTGTGGTGGGATCCAGGTGTCTCTATGCCCCCTTCTAGGGTTCCCTCTTGGGATGAGTGCCTGGCACTCTACCTGGCACCAAGACCCCATCGTGAAAACCCCAGCTCTGAGCTCAGGGCTATGGCTCCATGCCCACTTCTGCATCCACTGAGATGCTGAATCCCAGGGAGGGGCCTGTGTCAGCACAGGGAATCTCTGCGGTGAGACTGTTATTCCTTCTCAGTGCCCTAGGATGGGGCCAGCCTTGCCCGACTCAACAGTGGCCATGCAGATGGGTTAACTGAGGCCCACAGAGCAGCCTGGCTGTCTTTGGAGGAGTTCCAGTTCTCTCCCTCCCCAGCCCAGGGACAGACTTCAGCTTGGTCACCTCTCCAGGGTGGCCCCAGGGACTTCCTGGATGCCTCCTGCCCCAGGTGCTCACCCCTGTGACTTGGCCTGGACTCTTCAGTCACCCACACACACAGCTGCCACCTAGCTGTGGCACATCACCCCCTCCTTCCTGCAGGAGGATGCCAAGTGCCCAAGACCCAGAAGCAATGAGTCCATGGCAAGGCAGAGGGTATCAGCATGAGGGCCCCAGGTAGGGGTGGGTCACACCCCCTCCAGGACTTCAAAGCCCAGAGTGTGAGATTCACAGGAGGCTGGGCTACAACCTCCGGGTCTTTTATATGGTTATTCGTGGGCTGTCTCAACTACCTGTGAACAGGCCAGCCAGCTCATTTCCTCCTGGGGTGGTGGAGGGGGCTGTAAATCCCCAGAGGAGCCTCGAAGTGGGCAGCTCAGGCCAGCAGGACCCCTGAGAGTTACTACTCAAAGGCCCAAAGGGTGGATGGTTTCGTCTTCTGGTTCCTGTAGCTATTAATTGGGTCTGTCTTGTGGCCCTGAGGCTGTTCGTGCCCTATTCCTTGGTCAGCTGCTTGTGGAATCTGCCCTCTGCACCCCAGGGTCCTGGTGGTGTGGATGGGAAGGGCCAGCCTAACACCATCCCCTGGGCCACAGAGACCATTGGCATGGAGGCCCTCGGCCACCCTGGAGAGCCTGTGGTGTTCTCAGGCCAGTGCTGCCCTGTCCCCGGACTAAGTGGGACAAACAGCCTGGGTGTGAGGGGCCTTTGGCTTTCCAAGGTGGCCCAGTCTGGAAGTGGATATGTGGTCCTGCTCCCTCCATGGTACCAGTCTCCGGACATCCCCACTTCTAAGGGACTCTGCCCTGCTTCCCCCCAGGGTCACACCCATCCTCATCTGGGGCCCTGGAGTGGTACCCCTGCAGGTGCCAACTACTGTAGTGCCTCAGGATGCTTGAAGTCTATGGGACTGGCCTGTCAGAGGACCCAATCTCTGCCCTGGAGACTCCCACTTACAGTCATGGTCCAGGGCCAGTCCCCTCCCACTGGTGACTTGCTACCTGGAATGAGAGTGGACACCTGTCTTCCTGTCTCTACTTCACAGTGGAGTGCTGTCCCCCACTAGCTGGTGTAGGTCATCTTGCTCTGGGAAGCCAGTGACCTGGGGTGTGCTTGGCACAGGAGAGTGGGGTGCAGCAGGGCCAAGATGCCCAGAGGAGGAGGCTGTGGGCTGGAAGTACCAAGCTACCTGTCCTCAGCCAGAGCCCAGAATAGGGTAGGACTCTGAGGCCACAGGAAGGGAGTGGAACACTCCTGCACATCCCATCCCAATGCTCCTGGGCCATCGGCTCCCCGTGTCAGGAGTCTGATGGGGCACTGCTGCTCCATTATCTGTGAGGCTGGGAGGTCTGGACCAGGTCCCAGTGACTTCCCTGTCACAGCCCACCCTCTGAGGCATGCCTGTGTCCCCACGCTGCCCACTCCCGGCCCTACCCTTGTCCTCCTGGCTGTCCCTTGCCTTGCCCTCTGTTTGTGTAGGGCGTTATTCCTCCTGCACTCTGCTGGGACACTGGGTGTCCTCAGGATATGGTACAGTAGACACAGCTGACAGCACGGGTGGGGGATAGGGGACAGTCTTCCAGTGGGTGGCCAAGGGGGACAGTGAGGGTGTCATGGGGGCCTGACTAGGCATGTGACACTGACTCTGGGAATCCTCTGACCCCCACACTTCTTGGAGGAGGCTGGGATGATTGTGACACAAAGCCAGGGAAGCATAACATCGGGTGGTATCACACTGGTGGACCCCATAGGACCTCCCTCCCTCGCCCCCGCAGGTCACGTGTAGCTTCAGACTCCTCTCTTCATGTTCTCACAAGCCAGCCTTCTCCTATGGGCATCCTGTGGCTGGCAGATCTGAGGACCCTGTGCTGGGGACAGAGGGCCTGGCAGGGCACTGCTTTGTGCCAAGCTGCATCTTTTCTTGGCTCTCACAGCCTGGTGACTGTGTGCCTATCTCCCCCTAGGCCAGCAGTACACTCTCCCCTGGAGAGATGGGGGTCTGGGTCCTCCCCATTTGGAGGGTAACTGATCCCAGCTCCTCTCCAGTGCCTTGAGGTAGCATAGATCTCCTGCTCCTAGGGTTCACAGTGATCACTGCCGCCATATCCACCATCGGTGCTGCAGAGGTGGGGAAGATCATTGGGCCCGTCCCCCAGCCCTGTCTTGCAGCTGGCCTGCAAGTGTCTGTGCAGAGTGACCATGCTGGACTGGACCTGCTGCCTTCAACCATTCCCCCAGCTTCCCTGGGTTTTGCTGCCCTGGGCTTTGCCTGGTCATTGGGAAGTGGGGACAATCTGGGTACAGGCATGGAAGGGCAGAGAAGGCAACAGAGACCTTGGTAGGGCCACAGGGAGAGGTAAGACCCGTTTCCACAATGTATCCACTCCTGAGTAAGGTAGGCAGGGGCCACCTAGGAAGGCTGATGGGCACAGAGCTCTCTGGGAAGGGCCACCTCTCTCCACTGCCCCCCAAAGCTGTGGACAACCTGGTAGCCAGCCCTCTCTCAGGGTCCAGGTGACTTTCCACTTCCAGGATATGAGCAGCCGGGCCACACCACAGCCCAAGGGAATAGGCACACACAGTAGGCGGGGACACAGGGAGGTGGCCTGGCCCACGGTCCCTCCGCGCTGTAACCCTAAGCGGTCTCCGCTCACCACTTTGCCTGCCTCTTCACCTGCCCCTTCTCCCGTCCTGGACACTGAAGGCTCTGGTGCCACTCCCTATCCTCCACCCCGACTCCACTCTCTCCCCAGTTTGGCCTACACTTCCTCCTCAGGCTCAGCACCCAGGTCGAGTTGCTTTCTCTGGAAACCTGGCCATGCTTCAGGCTGGGACCTCTTCTACAGACCCACCAAATGTGAGGACAGGAAATGTTACCTGCCAGGCTGACTGGACAGCTCCGCACTTGGGGAAACATCACAGGAAGCCTCCTTATACATACAGTTAATACACGTAACAAAAATATAAAACAGGCAAGATAAAAGGAAAAATTCCAGTACAAACCACAGGCTTATTGGACTGTTTCTTCTTCGACTTTCCGCATCATTTGAAACTCATGTGCTATCACTAGAATAATTTCTTTCATAGAAAGAAAAAAAAATCAAAATGAAACAACATATCTGTCTAACTCCAGTGAATGGTAGATATAGCAGCATTGGAAATAAAATTAAAACCACAAATCCAAATGCCAGGGAAGGACAGTCACGCATGTCCTCTTGGCACTCGCAGAGCCCATTCTGGCCAGCCCCTTCTTGCCTGCAGGGGACGATTCACAGTGGCAGGGCCAAGCAGAGTTCTCCCGGGTGGAGGGTGGGGGGTGGGTGCTACTTCACTGGCCGGCTCATCAGAAGCTCTGGATGACGCCCCAGGCCTGTCCTGGCCACAGAGGGCTTCAGGGCCTCTGTCTGCAGTGTGCCCTTGCACTGAGGCCTGAGTCTCCTAACCGTCAAAAATGAGGCCGGCATCTCTGGGGAGCCGTGGGTTGAGCTGGGACAGCTGGGCAGGGATAGAGGGGCATTCCCAGGTTGGTGGTGGGGGGTCCGCATGTGGCGTGCAGGGCAGAGGCAGGCGCCCTTTTCTCTGAGCTCAGTGCTTGGGCGCACGCGGAGGCTGCAGGCTTTGTTCGGGGGAGTCCTGATCGGAAGGTAGGAACCTTCCAGCAGAGGAAGGATGCGAGGGACTAGAGAAGGTGCCCAGGTCCAGAGGCGTGGCGCGGAGCCAGCCTGACGCTGACATCCTGAGCTGACGCCTCCAGAAAATTCCGCTGTGCCCCACCTGTTCAGCCTGGCCCTTGTGTCCCAAGCCCCGTGTGGAGCCTACTTGCAGGTGTGCACGTCGTACACGCGCGTGCACTCCTGGCAACGCACGTAGCAGCACCAGTGGAACACGCAGTGGCACTTCTCACGGCGCCGCTCGGAGCGGGCGTTGTGCCCACGGCCGCAGCACAGCAAGTCGCAGCCGTCGATGCCGTGCGAGCTCACGTTGCAGGTGCGGTCACGCGTGCCGAAGGAGCCAGTCTCCGGGTCTGGCTCGCAGAAATTGGGCGAGGCCTCATAGTAGACTAGGTCGCGTTCAGTGGGCGCCTTGAAGTAGGTGTAGCGGGGCCTAAGAGTCTCCACCCAGCCGCGCGACTCGCGATGCTTCTCCACCACCATCTCCGAGGCGCTGTCGTACTTGTCCTTCAGGAAGTCGCCCACCACGCGGAAGTCAGGTTGTGACCACCAGCAGGTCTTCACCTCACAGCTGCCCGACAGCCCGTGGCACTTGCACTTGAGGTGCATGTGGCTAGCGACGGCCTGCCAAGGGGGCGGGAGCTGCGTGAGGGCCCAGCCTGCCTCAGCCTCACCGGGCCAGGGCTCGAGGAGGGATGCAGAGCGTCCTCCCTGAGCCTCCTGGGGACCCAGGACCTTGGGCTATACATGGCTAGGCCCTCCCCCAGCCTTCCCAGAGACTTGGGGCTTCTAAGCCTTCTCAGGGACTCAGGGGTCTTTCAGCTTTTTGGGGGCCCCGGGTGCCCTCTCTGCCCTCCCTCAACTGCTGTGTCAAAATGCAGTGGGGGTGGCAGGAAGGAGTTGCCCTCCTGAACCCATTGGTCCTGGCAGAGGCTGTTAACAAGGGCACCTTCTTCCCTGTGCCCCACACCCACACCCACATCTCCCATGGACCCACTAAGTACCACCCACTCCTCACTACAGCCTCAGTGACTATGGCTCTCAGCCTTCCAAACTGTGAGCTACAGAAACCTTATTTTCTACAAAGCACCCAGCATTTTGTTATAGCAAGAAAAAAGCAGACTGATAGAGTTCAAATGCAATGTAGTATCAACTGGGTTTCACCTGTGGTTTGTTTTGTTCAGTCCTGGATGCTGAATAATTTGCGGCTCTGGTCCCTGGCTAGTATCCTGCTTGTTTTGGACTATTCTGGCTGAAGACCTCAACCAGGTTCAGTGTCCAGAGCTGCCCTCCTCGGTCCTGCCCCTTACACTGGCCCCCCTCTGCCCACAGGCCACTGTGTGTGATTCCATGTTCTTCCCTCCCTTGCAACTCTCTTTTCCAAAGAGGAGGTGCCACTTGCCTTCTCTCCTTCCCCAGCCTCTTGTCCAATTTTTTTTTTTAGTCAGTTATGTATACTTTAAAGAGCCCTGTTACTGAGACCTGTTAGGAAGCCCAGGAATTCTGGCCCATGCACACACACGCACACACACACACACACACACACACACACACACACACGCACACGCACACACATACAGTTTTCCTGAGTTCCTAAGGCCTTCTGGGGGACATCTATGCCAGATGACATGCTTCTCTGCCACTTCTGGATTTTTTTCCTTGAGACAGGGTTTTACTGTGCAATCTAGATCCATTTTTGAGCATTAGGCATTCTCTACTGGTGTCTCACAAGGGGGATGTTCAGTTCTTTCTCCACCTCACCCTATTTGGCATAGTTTCTAAGAGATCACTAATCACTGTTGACAGTCTGGTCCCAGGTCAAATGTTGGATTCCACAGGGCCAAGTGATACAGTAGGATGATGTCCCCTTTCCTCCATGGCTTTTGTTATTAAGATGCCTGCCACTGATTCAGCCCCAAATTCTGTCTTAATTGTTAAAATATTCTCTTCAATATGTTCACATATATATTGATTCTATTGATTTTACCTTAGAGGACACATCTATTTGCAGGGCTTCTGGTAAGTTTTGGGAAATGTGTGTGTCTGGAAACAAATTTTTCTCCACTCTTGTGCCATTTAATTGATAATTTAGCTGGAGATCTGTTGGTTTGAAACCATTTTTTCCCTTAGGTTCCTAAAGGTATGGCCTATGTCCATCTGTGTTTCAGTATTTATCCTGAGAGCCTAGTCCCTGATCCTTTGTATAAAGTCCCAACACCATCCTTGGAACCTGGAGGACTTCTCCTTGGAGCAGGCTCTGACTCCACGACGCTTCGTTTCACAGTCCTTTCTTCTCTGCTATCCACCTACTGACTGGGCCAAATCGCTCTAGAACTTCGGTTCTGGGAAATTTGCTTGCTTTCTTTCTTTATGAACTTACTCGTTGTGTTCATCCTTGTCTTTCTTGGAGGACATATTCCAGATTTTCAGTCTTCACCTCACCAATTTTCATCTGTCTTTTTTTTTTTTACCTTGTGGGAATGTACAATTTTCAACTTTTTGCTGAGACTTTTGTTTTTGTTAATTCTTTTTCTCTCTGACTATTATGTAAAATTAATATTCCTGTTCTGATGTCACAGAATCTTACTGTTTGGGGACACTGACATTTTGTGAAGTTCTCAGTTTTGTTTCCTAGCACGCCTTCCTGTGGGATGTATGTGTGTGCTTCCTTCCCTCTTCCTGTAGTGTTGGTGCAACTTGGCTGCCTACTCATGGTGCATGTGAGCCCGGACATCCTATTGAAGGCCCACGTGCATGGCAGCACTGGCAACATGGACTAGGAGGCTAGCTGCCTTTTTCTGCTGTGGCTTTCCCCGCTTCAGTATCTGAGGCCTTTCCTTCTGGGTTGGTTGGATTCCCTAGAGGAGAGCGGTCACCCTTCTACTGGCATCAGGAGATCAGGAACAGAGATGGAGGTCTGAACTTCCATGTGAGGAGAGGCCACTGCCACTGTGGCAGCCCAGGCTCAGATGTGCTCAGTGTCCCTCAGGCTACAGTCACCTCTAATCCTTTGTGGAGAATAAGCTTCCAGATGTCTGCACAGCAAAGGAGAGGCCGCTCCTGCTCACGAGGGTTACATAGGTGTCCCGTGCTAACCAATTGTTCCACTGGAGCCCTGCCAATGGGTTACAGCAGGCTTTAAAAACAGACTGTCTACTGGTCTCCACTTCCACACCCATGGTCATCTTTACTTCTCAAGATATTGGATGCTAGAAATTCCTGGATTGCACCTCAGCTTATCTTCCACTGACTTACAGACTCAATTCTGGGGTCTGCTGCAACTATGAGCAGTCGGTGTTTGGACATTTGTTCTCTGCCAAGGGTGGCAGGTGCTTTTGGTCTGAGAGGTCCAAGGCGCATCTCTTAGCAAGTTCTTGCCGCTCTCTCTAATCTTCCTTCTATGAGTTGCAAGGCCAAACTACTCTGGGCAGAAAAGCAGAAGCTTTCCAAGTTTTGTTGCATTGGTTCTTCTGTTTTCCGTATTCTTATGAGCATCTGTCAATCTATCAGTTTACCTATTATCTCTGTCTCGTCAGTCTGTCTGTCCATTCCATCCACCTACCCACCATCGCTCCCTTCTCCATCTATCCATCCCATCCATTCATCTTCTTCCCCTCTCTCTGTCTCCCTGTTCTGTCTGGTCACCTTCCATATGTGTACCTCTTTATGGCAGAAATTCCTACCATGTTACATGGCTTGCTCACAGTCTCCCTGCAGGGTGACCTGGGTAGGCCATGCCTTAGCCCTCCTCCTTTCCATGAGCCTGAGTGCACAGGTGGTCTTGTCATCTTGGAGGAATGCACCAGATGGACCTGGCCTTCACACATCCCTGGACAGTGGGTGAACAGTCCTCTGGTCTAGTCACCACAGATATCACCCCACCCAGGGAGCTCTTGTGGCCCTAGGACATACCTGGCGCCCAGCTTCATTGTTGTGGCGATTCATGGCTGAGCGGGCATCTGGTCGGTTCTCCCGGGCATCTGCAAACTCTCGGGACACCATCCCGCCGAACTCGATGTCCTCGCTACAGCCACCCCACTTCCAGCCCTCACCTGGTGTGCCCTGGTGGCGAGTGCTGCAGCCACAGATGGCAGCCGAGCCCTCTGCACAGGAGCGGGTCACGGCAAAGGCCACACCAGCCGAGGCAATGGCATGGACGAAGGCAGACTCCCGGGTGGCTATGGGGAAAGAAGAGATGGGTGTTAGCAGGCAGAGCAGGGCCCAGTGTGCTAGGACCAAGGAGAAGGGGAGCTTCTCAGACGAAGGGCTGGAGGCTTTGCTGCCTGTGCCTTGGGTCTCAAGATTCTTGCCCAGTCATGTCCTGAGGCATCACCTCTGCTTGCTACTAGCTGTTTCATAGTTTCAGGTCTTCCCCTTAAGTCTTCTGTCCAGTTGGAGCTGTTTTTGTATATGGCAAAAGGTAAGTGTTGGCTTTCATTTCTCAGCATGTGGATTCCTAGCCAGATATATGGAAACATCTATCCCTTCCCAAGCTTATGTTTCCCAAAACTTTGTTGAGAATCAATTGACTGTTGATGTGTGAATTTATATCTATCATCTCTATTCTGTTCCATTAGTGAGTTTTTATGCTAGCACTATGCCAAGACAGCATGGTACTAGATAAAAGCTGACCGATGGAACAGAATAGTATGCACAATGATATACTGCTCAGCCCTAAAAAAGGATGAAAATCTGTCATTTGTGACAATGGAGGACATTACATTAAGTGAAATAAATCAGGGATAGAGAGACTAGAACGTGTTGTGGGAGCTAAAAACGATCTCAAAAAGTAGAAAGTTGGAGAGGAAAAAGGCAGGGGGTTAGGGAGAAATTAACAAACTACAGAATTGCACTGAGATAAGGGGAATACTTTTTTATTTTACGGAAAAAATAAAAATTTCACAAAAAAAAATAGAAGAATAACAATAATTACTTTATTGAGTATTGTTATTTTTAAAATAGTTATTTAGAGTAAAATATATGGGGATAAAAAATTCTCCAAATGATACTGGCACAAACCTTTCTTTTCCATGAACTAAAAGAAACTAGTAGTACAACTATCTTGTATTTTTTTCCCTTTTTCTCTTTCTTCCTGTGGGGAATAAATTCAGATTGATGTGTCAGCTTTTCATTTCTGTGACAAAATATCTGACAAAATCAACTTAAAGGAGAAAGAAATTATTTTGACTCATGGTTCCCAAGTTTCCAGTCCATGGTCAATGGGCTCTGTTGCTTCTAGACCTGTTGTGAGACAGAACATCACAGTGGGGAGCAAATCCACCTGATGGTGTGCAGGATGTCAGGAGAGTCACGAAGAGGCCAGGGATGTATTACACTTCCAGGAATATCCCCAAAGACCTACTCCAACCAGGTGCCTCCTCCCACCAATTCCAGTACCTCCTATGAATCATGCTGTTCTGAACTCCCCATGAGCCAATGACTTCCACACACTGCTGCACCAGGGACCCAGCCATCTACACTCAAGGTCTCAGGGGAATTTCAGATCCAGATCAGCAGAGGTGACTACAGTGAATAATTTTTTTTTTATATTTTAAAACATTTAAAAGAGAGGACTTTGAATGTTTGGTATTGGGGATAGAACTCATGACCTCACACTTTGCAGAATAATAAATGTTTGACATATGCTAAAAAGTCTGATTTGATCATTATACAATGTATTCCTACACTGAAATATAATACTGTGCTTCATGAATAGGTGCAATAAATGGGAAAAATCACAGCAGATTCAACAGTGACTTGGGAAGATTCTCAATACCACTTGTCATGGAGCAATACAAACCAAAGCCAAATGAAGCCCATCTCATTCCCAGGGGGGATGGCCAGAATCAAGACACCAGGCCTTCAGGGGTCAGCAAGACATAGAGAGGCCAGCAACCTTGTATGCAGCTGGGTGAAAGAAATCTAGTTTCCTTGGAGAACCTTTGGCACACACCTGCTGCCTGGCCTAGGTCTCTACTGTAGGCGAAACTGATTCCCAGGCACAGGCTCAGAAGCAAATATAACAGCATCCAACTACCACAACTGCCCACATGTGGGTTGCAAGCCCACATGCCCACCAAAGGGTGGCTGGATAAAAATGCATGGTGTGTCCATCACAAAAAATTTACTTAGTAATATGGTGGACCCCCCATCAGAGGTTTCAGCTACCATGGTCAACTACAGTCTGAAAATATTAAATAGAACATTCCAGAAAGAAACACTTCCTATATTTTAAGTGGCACACTGTTCTGAGTGGTGATGAAATCTCATACTCTTGTTCTGTCCCCTCTGAGATGTGCCTTGTCCAAGATGTCCTGAACTTGTTGCCTAGTGCCCCCAGGTTATCAGACCAATAGTTGCAACGTCATAGTACTTGTATTGAAGTAACCCTTGTTTCACCTAATAATGGTCCCAAAGCACAAGAACAGTAGAGCTGGTCATTTGCATATGCCAAGAAGAATCCAGAAAGAGCTTCTTTTGAGTGAAAAGAAGAGAACTAGACCTAGTAAGGAAAGAAAGAAATCACATACTGAAGTCTGGTTTAATGTGGCCAGCAATAGCTGTGCTATGGTATAAATACTGGGTTGTCTCAACATTTCCACCATTCTTTTCTAGCTAGTGAAAGCCTGTTTAGACTCAAAACTCTTCCCATATTGTAGTCAAATGTAAGGAAAGGAAGAAGGGAATCGTGTGACAAAACTATTCTGTAAAAGAGGCAAATCTGGTGGGATACTAGGGCAGGAGGATCGCCACGAGTTCAAGATCAGCCTGGACTATATAGTGAGACTTTGTTTAAAAAAAAAAAAAGCAAATCCATCTAGGAAGCCACCTTCTCCAGAAACTTACTGTGGCATCCTACAGCAAGATTGAATTCATGCAAAGTGTTAATTTTCTGAATTATCTGTCTTTCCTTCTTTCTATCCATCTAGCCACCCATTCATTACTCATCACTCACCACTCATTCATCCAGCATCTACCCATCATCCATTCATCCATCAGTCTATCATCCACCTATTCATCCTTCCATTCATCTGTCCACTACCCATCATTCACCATTCATCTATCATTCTATATCTCCATCCGTCCATCCATGATATGAGAATCCACATGAGCCATACTAGGTACGGACTGCAAGTATGAGGTGAGTACTATGCAAAATGCCCAGCCTCAAAACTGAGGATAAGAAAGCTTCAAGAACATGGCTCATGGCTTGCTCATCAGTATGGCAGACTGCTAACAGCCAAGGGTTTCTGAAAGAAGTTCTGTTTCTGGTGGTGACTCACTGTCCAATGGAGGGAGCGATCCTTCCTGCCTTGAGGAGGAAGGTGGATGGGTGAAGCCTCTACTTCTGGTACCAGTGACATTGGCTTTAGTCAGATATTCTGCACTGGGTTGCGCTAAGTCACCTGCCTTTGGGAGCCTATGGATGACCCGGGAGAGTGTAGGGAGGAGGGCACTAGTCAGGCGTGGTGACGAGCTCTGGGGTGGGCCTGGGGTAGACAGATAGTGAATAAATGGATGGATGATGAGGAATGGGTGGATAGGTGAGGGACGGGAGACAGAAGAGGGGTGGGTAGATGGGTGATAGATGTGTGGATGGTTACACAGCTGGGCCTGGAGGTGATGTGAGGGTGGATGGATGAACGTATTGGTGGACAATGGATGGATGCAGGTGGGTGGACGGTGGGATGGGTGGGTAAATAGCGGGTGGAGGGTGGAGACTTTGTCTGAGGAGGCAAGAAGAGCTGACAGTGGGCGCTGTCATAGCTGAGGGAAACGCAACACTCAGATGCCAGCAAGCAGAAGATGTACCAAGCAGTTACTTTGCCTCTGTGAGGCTTAGGACTTTCAAGGCAAATTCCTTTCTTCAGTTTTGGATTTCTGGCCTTGTTAAGTGCAGACGATTATCGGGGCACTGAAAGAAGACAGCCACACATTTGCACTTTGTTGAGAGAGCCTAAAACATAAAAAATACTGACTGCATTTTCAGAAAAAGATCTCTGAACATCAGAAAGGTAGGATTTACTTCCAAGTCCCTACCTGGGGAACAGCATGTGCAATGGTCATTCTAAGGTCCTTGTCCTTCTTTGGCACCGTGAAGCTGACTGAAGCCCACAGCTCATGGTGCAGATTGTGCCCTAAGGGAACAGAAAGCCTCCCCTACCCCTGGGTGCCCATCCATGGAGGGTCACCAGGAGGTCAGCTACAGGGACCCCTGTGCATATGGAAGGCAGATGCTGAGGAGCTCAGTCAGGAGGCTGCCCTGGCCTGGGGTGCAGTGGGAGAGGTACATCCTTGATTTACAGAAGACAGAACAGCCCAGAACGAAAGAAGGCCTGGAGAGGGTCAGCCCTGGGCCAGACTACTCAGCAGGGAGTGTGGAGCTGGACAAAGGCATCCTAAGTGGTCTCTGCAGCCTCCCACACATGTGCATGGGCTCTCCATGCTCCTGCTGTAGATTCTGGCCCAGCCTTGGAAGACAGGAAGCCCCTATGTGGCTTGGCTCTGTGCCTGGCCAAGGGAGAGCTTGGTGGAGGTTGGGGCAGAGGGAGAGCCACTTGTGATAGATGCACCCTCACCCTGAGGAACCTTGTGTGGCTTGTCTGAGGGACAGATGTGACCCGGGAAGGCCTAGGAGACTTGCTCAGCCGGGCTGCTCCACAAGGAAGCTGCTCTGCCATGGTACTGGGGACACATCCCTGTAGGGCCACCTAGGGACCAAGCCCAGTGGTGTAGGCTGGGATCAGCTTCAGAGTTGATGATGTCTCAGTACCCTTCTGCTGATGGGCCCAGACCAGAGGGCGGAGATAGCTCAGCTCTGGCTCCCTGGGCTGGACTGTACCTTCTAGCGCTGCTGGCCCCTAGTCCATGGTCATGGGGTCTCTAGCTGGCCTCTGCCTGAAGGAGGGTCTCGTGGTTCTGGGCCCAAGACTGGGGTGGGCTCTGCCTGTCAGTTGTGTCCTGGTGTCCCAGACCACTGATCTGTAGGAACTGCAGGGCTCTGTGCTCACCCAGGCCTGTGCCCAGAGCTGCACAAAGGCAGAGCTGTGGCCTTTTCTCATGGTACCTGGAGCTTGAATCCTTCTTTTGGGAGCTATGTGAACCAGTGGGCCCCCTCAGCTCAGAAGGGCACAAAGGCGGGTTTCAGGAAAGCTCTGGAGACCCTCAGCCTGACCCA